CGCGCTTTTGATTAGATAACTTCTACACACGATTCCCTGATATCGCTTCCTGTGTATACTTGTATTTTCCCCGTTATGATTACGATATGAGTATTTTTTAAAAGAAATACCCAAACTACCTTGAAGTGGAACTGGTTGCCACATTTGGTACTTCACGGTGCCAGTTCAGATTGCTCTTTAACACCCTTGGAGGGTTTTAAGTCGGGAAGCAGATGCCTTCAGTAGTGTGGCATGATCACTTTCAGAATGCTTACTACTATACTATATATACGTGTAGTACTTTAGATTCCCTTGAACTGCAACGAAAATCCCTTGCAGACCTTAAAAACAGCAATTGGTTTTATGAGAGCGCAACTGTCAGAACTAACATTAACTCCCTATACCAGGGTGCCCCAGTTCCGGTCCTGGAGGGTCAGTTTGTAGATTTACCTGCTCAGACATAAGCTACTAAACCTAATAATTAGCTGATAAGGGGTGTTTGAGCACGGAAATCACTAAACTGTGTTGTATTCCGGCCCTCCAGGCCCGGAATTTGGGAAACCTGCCGTATACGGTCAGGCGGCGATCATTTAGATTGGGTGATTTTAACATATGAACAAACCAATGAATAATTGAAAAGGTTTGAGCAATATTTTTATGCGTGCTATTTTATAATCAGAATTAAAATGAGATGCAAAGTGTTTTATACAAAAACCCTTGATCAGTTGTTTTGACAACATATTTTTAAAATATACTGACGTAATGTAGTCATGTACATTAAATGTATTAGGCCTAATAATGAAAAACAATTTAAGCACATCCTCTTCCAATTTTCCAGAATTCATCGTAATATGATATATAAGAACTCAATAAAATCAAATATTCTATATATTTTATAATTATAGGTCAATGGACAGTTTCTGCTATGACATAACCAAAATAGCATAATTTTAAAATGTTTATAGAGAACTTTTCAAATGAAAATTTCAAAAAGTTAAAATAGGAATGACATTGTTGTCATTTAGTTTTTGAAACATAAAGAGCCAACTCATACTCACTATTTAAACACAGATTTTCAAATTGTACTTAGAAATGGACAAATCTGCGCACGTCTAACTGGATGGGTGAAAGGACAGAGATGGATTTCAACTCCGCTTCAGACTGAAGCTGGATTGTGCCATAGGTCATACTTTCACTTAACAGAAGCAGTATCCGATAGCAATACTTGAATTACTGGTTGATTGCCTATTGTTTTTTTCATCATGTCTCACAATAATTAATTATCTTGTAATCGAAAGATTGCTGGTTTGAATCCCTGACCAGCAAAAGTACCACTGAGATACGCTGAGCAAGGTACTGCCCCCACGCACTGCTCCCTGGATGCTTAATTAGCTGCCCCCTGCTGTGTCATGATGTCACATATGGGTTAAATGCAGAGGATACATTTTGTTGTGTGCTGTGGTGTGTCAATGACAACTAATCACTAACAATATGTAATGTACGCAGACCAACTGCATCACAACCATGATGGGTCAATCTGTTGGTTTTCCACATTGTATATACACACACACACACACACA